AATGAGTTATTGTAATTTTAGGCCTTTAATATTTCATATAAATCTTTGGCTCTTAGCAATGTAATAGGTTAAATTACTTTAACAATATATATGTTTATTATTTCTATTAGGGTCTGACAATTTAATTTTGAATGAGATACACTTGAAAGATTTTCTAATTCTCACATATTTTAAACTTTGAGAATCAAGTCATTGTCTCGATCACTTTATTTATTCTATTTCTGTCACCACCGCCCCTCCCCCCCTCCCCACCCTTCCCTTTATAATGTTAGGCCGAAGGCTCAACATTCAACAGAGGTGCCTTGCTTAACGTCGGGTTTCTGGAGGCCTTGAAGGTTCGCGACTTTGACTGTTTCATCTTCCACGACGTCGACCTCATCCCCCTCAGTGATAAAAACCTGTACAGGTGTGGCGACAACCCCCGCCATTTCGCTCTAGCCCTCAACAAGTACTCGTATTCGTAAGTCTCATTTTTTGTAATTCAACAAGTGCTCGTATTCGTAAGTCTCATTTTTTTTGTAATTCAACAAGTACTCGTACATTTGACTTGTCTAAATACTCTTCTTTCCTTCTGGAGAATTAAAATCTTATTTTGAAGCCCCATAGGACATTCCTGTTGTCTTCGATATTTTAAGAAAACTCCGTCTCCAGGTCCGTCTTAGACGCATTCTCTATCACCTTCCCTATGGGTTTCACTCGTTTATTAGTACTGCCGTGTCCTTCTCTATAGTTCTATACCTCAATTTCAGATTCTTTTGTGAGAAATTTTATTCTTTATTTACTATAAAACGTACTTTATTTCAGTATTTACTACAAAGCTTACTTTGGTGGCGTCATTGGTTTCTCTAAGGAACAATTCCTGGACGTGAACGGCAACTCTAACGTCTACGTGGGTTGGGGAGGGGAGGATGACGACTTGCTGGAAAGGTAGGTTCGACCGTTAGTTTCTGTGAGTAACAATCATTTCTCAACCTTTAAAACAAAACCAAGAAAATATTTCGCTAATAATTTTCTGTGTTAAGCTATTTATTTTTCTATTTAGTAGCATTTGGCTTTGGTAGTATCATAAAACACCAGTAATGAAAAAAAATCATACCTTTTTCTGTAATTAGATATAAAAAAAATTATATATTACCGTTCTTTTCAGCAATAAAGAAATAAAATAATAAAATTTTATTGCGCGATTTTGATTGCGTGTACATTTAGGTCCCTCAACAAAGGTTATTACATTAGCCGTTATGGTCTAGGTATCGCCAAGTACGATATGATCAGTCACGGCCGTGATAGAGGAAATGAGATGAACCCACACAGGTAGGAATAATAAACTTCCCTCTGAAAATGTATTTTTTAAAGTAAATTTCTATTACATCTCGTAATTTACTCTTCTATGTTTCCTTTAATATTCTATTCTATATGAAATCTGAAATGCTGCTTTTCTACTCTGAAAGTACCCAATTTCTTTTTCTTCGTTTTAGAGATTACAATGTGGTGAATATCTAACGCTGATATGTACCAGTTTCCCATTTAAAACAACAAATATTATTATTGCTTTCCATAAAATCTTTCTTAAATCTCCTTTTTATTATATTAAATAAAACAATTCAGTATTTTTTTTTTATTTCCAATATTGTATTTCATTAGTTTATTTAAAAAAGAAAAATGGCATTAAACTGCTAGTGTAAAAAAAGTGCTTTATTTACCTCCAAGACTAGACGCCTTAAAGAACGCCAGAGAACGTCAAGACATCGAAGGCCTCAACACCCTTACCTATAAGGTGTTGACTAAAAAGGCGCATCAGTTGTTTACCTGGATCACCGTGGAAATCAACAACCAGGTGTTAGTACAGGTAATAACAGGGTTCTATTGAGTTATCAGGCAAATTGCTGTCGTATAGAATTCCTACAGAGTCATACCAAGTTATTGCTGTTGTTTTTTTCACGCTAGCATAGCATAGATATGAGGGCTATAACAAGGGTAAGATCGGAACTGGAGTTACATACTAACATCGGGTTATGCTTCAGGCAATCATAAGATCACAAATGTGATTTTTGTTTCCGTGTTGATATAATATGTACCTTTATATATGGGGAATTCATCTGCCACACCATTTATCCTGTCATAGACACAATTGTAACAATAAAACGAAAACAACATATATGGTTAAAATTTTTCGCAACTCAAAATAGTTATACAGTAATATTTATTTATTCCAGGCCGCGCCGAAAGAACTACAAGAAATTTTTCATCGTCCAGCTTCTGGTTTTCAACTAAGCTATTCCCCGGGTATACTTTTTCTACAATGCGCATGCGTGCTTCTCATCCATTACAAACAAGTCTATTGAAACAGCTGAAACGCATGTGGGTTCTTTATTATGTATACATAGACAGATTCAGGTAGGTGGTTTGGAAGGAGTGAACATAAAAAGTATCCCCCTCAAACCCCCCCCCCCCCCCACCCCCTTACCTCAATATTATGGAGATATTTTTGTCAAAATTGTGATTTATTGTATAATTATATTGTGATTTTTATTCTTTGTAATACTTTTTGTGAAATAAATACACATTCTGTATATTAACGTTGCAATGCAAAAACCGAACAATGTAGGTTCCAGTAGAAGGCATGGTTGAAGGGGGGAGGGGGGGCTCGATGGAAAATAACGGTCGAATTTGTATTTTATTTTTATTTATCGACTATTTTATTTGCAGTTATAAAGACATTGACAAGTAACGATGCCATATCTTATTTTAATGTATATGATAGTGTATGCTCGGAAGGGATTGAGTCGGTAAAGCTCATGTTTGCTAAACCGAAACGCCCCGAGTTTGAACCCTCGGGAAGATGAGGCTCAATATCTGAGGACATAAATTCTGCTAGGAGACACAACTTCAAAATTAAACAACTGCTGCCTGTTTGTAGTTGGAAAAATTGTATGGAAGCAACTCCAAAAAGAAAAGCAAGCTGAAATCGTAGTCAACGAAGGGCGCATAAGCAGTTGACAGGTATCTTTAATTGTGTTGGAGCGAATCCCTTCAAACACTAAAAATTAAGAACCAAGTAGAAGAAGTATACTCGGAGCTTTGTTGTTTAAACATCAGAACCCTTCTAAAAAAATTTTGGGAACATTTTTAAAAACCCGACTTTAAAGAGATAAAATGAAACATGATTAAACGAAAATTACAATAAACAACTTAATGGCATACTAGTAATTAACATTTTTTGTATTAAGATGATATGCTTTTTATTTGTGAAGGCTAAGTCTATGTCCTCGACATTTGTAATAATCACAATTTTTGTTTTCGTCATACTCTTATTATAAGTATCCATCTGCACATCCATCTCTTCAGCATTGCAGATTCAGTTGTTGAGAGATAGGGAGATTTAGGAAAATATCTTGTAATTTAAAATAGCCATTTATTAAATTGAAATCAATAATTCTTGGGGGGCGGGGGGATGTCATTACATTAGAAAACAAAACCTCCATCATTGTTTGTATTTACTTGTACCTTTATTTATGTGATAACTTAAATAGACAACGTTCAAGACAACCATCACCATTGTTTATCATTATGGTCGTACGGTAAAGTTATTTACCCTTGTATATTGCTATTGGTTGTGATATATTTGAACTAAAAACGTCCATTATTTTTACTGTCAAAAATTTTACAATTTTAACGTTTTGATTGCTATAATAAAATTGGCAGGTCTTCTTTTTTAGATGTGTTCTGTGATAGCATTTCTTAATGTGAGTTTAATGAATATAGCGTGTTGTGTTTTTATGTGTTGCTGCAAGTTATGCGAGGGGGTAAGATGATGTGGGGGTGGAAGGGGTGAACTATGTTAATTTTGGGCTGCTGAGTGGTGATGAACAAGACTATAAGAAATAGATTTAGTACGTATGGTATAAAGAATCAAGTGGTCTAAAAATACAAAACTCGAGATGGGGAAATACATTGGTTGATTATAATAGGGAAATGTGTGTTTGCGAGTAAAAACTGCATCTATTTAAAAACTTACAGAACAGAACACATGCATTCGGTTTGTTTTTTAAGTGAATAGCCTGAGTTGTACACACACACAAAATCAGCGAAAAGCCGAAAACACCTATTATATAGAAACAAAAGCCTGAGTCAAGTAAGTCGAGAGGCTAAATGATTCAAGGAATAAATATCTGCTCTCTCCTAATCAACATAAGGAGGGATGGAAAAAGAACGTGGTCGAGTCGGTAAAGCTCATGGTTGCTAAACCGAAAAGTCTCGAGTTCGAATCCTCGGGCAGATGAGGCTCGTTAGCTGGGGACAGCCACTCTTCTAAGAGAGACAACTTCAGTTTGTTCTTGGTTGAACAAAGGCGCATACTAAATTGTGATGGATTCGTGCTCGAGTCGGCAAAAGCTCATAGTTGATAAATTCGAAAAAAAAAGTCTCGAGTTCAACCCTCTGGCAGATAAGGCTCGATCCCTTCCAACACTTACGAAGAAGAAGAAGAATGGCTATTGTATTGGGAAAAAAATTGACTGAAATACTTTATTACACATTTTTTCATTGGCATCCCTTTATCGTATTTTGGTTAGAATCAGTGACTAATACAAGAAATGTAACGAAATTCGTAAGTATAATAGTAACACTTTTAGAACTATACCATTATTGACGAGAGGTACAAGTTATTTATAACCAATAACGCAATCTATTTATTAGTTAAAAGAAAGATAAAAAGAATAAGAAAAGATCAGAAAAGGAAATTATAAAAATTAAATTACGACTCAATAGATTGTCTGACTAAATTTTAAATGTGTCTGATTAACCTATTTCATTTCCTGAGACAAAAAAAAAACACAAAACTATGCCCATACTCATTTTCGGCAGGAAATAATCGGGCTGAAAACAATGTTTGTATCTTACTTCATGATTCATGCTCGCTAAAAATTGTGAAAAGTAAAACTTCATATCTGGCAAGCCGGTCAAAAGAATATAAAACACTTAAGCTTTATATGTGTAACGGTTTTCAGTGTTACTTCTATTCTTGTGCTGCTTTTTTAAATTTATATTATTAATTTGAATGAATTCCTTTTTATGGATACGTTTATTCTTAAGTAGTAATTATTTAAATGCTTAGTACAAACATTATTTTGGAATAAAAAGTGTATCGTCTTTCTTGTCGCATTTTTGGGGCTTGTCTTACCCTCCCCCTCTTACTCCTAGTATTGCGGGGTGTGGCGGCATGGAATATCTGCCCCTGGTAAAAAAAAACTATCATACAACCAAAAACAACATTGTTTATAATTGAAATATGTTAATTAAAAGATAATAATTTAAATTAAATTAAAATGAGTAGATCTATAGATCTAGATCTAAATCAAATTTAAATGAAGTAGTTCTTTTCTTTATAGTCTAAAATCGGAAGATTCACATATTAAAAAAAAAAAATTAAGTTTGACTTTGTCTGTCTCGATTCCGCACCATCTGTGTGGTATTAAGTACACTATCATCTCAACTATTTAGTCACCTTATAATATGGAGAATTAAAGAGGTATTTAAAAAACTTAACTTACGCGAATATGCCTATTCTTTCAAATTATTTTTTTTATCCCAAATTAGCCAGTTCCATAGCTAAACAAACAAAGATTTCTATAAAATAATTAAGACCTGAAATAGTTTAATATACAAATTTATTTTATGAATAGATTCTAAAGTACATAGAGTCTAAATCTAGATCTTAGCGACTTATTAGCGTCTATCTCTAGTTTTTGCGTAGATTTAGATCTAGTCAAGATCTAGAATCTTTAGAGCTAGAATCCAAATAGTCACATTAGTGACGTCATTGTTTCATTGGTTCTTTTTTACAACTATAAACACTTTTCCTGTTGCATAATTAAAACTGTTTTTCTAAATACGAATATGTTTTTATTTTTTTAAATTTTCTTCTATAAATAAAATGTTCGTTATACATTTAAAACATCTACCATATTATTTTCAACAAAAGTCCGTATCAAATGCTCCATGCTTCTGATGTGATACCCTGCGAAAATATTATGCGGACAGAGAGAGAGAGAGAGAAGTGCGCACATGGTCTTTTATATATTAGGATGTCTAGTTAAGTCATCAGATGTCTTACGAGTTAAGACAGCACTTCAATAATTTCTTGGACTCAGAAATTTGAATCTAGCACAATGGTATAAACTCAGAAAAACTTGTATTTACTTTTATGGTTTTAGATTCTACGAGATGACCCGCGATCTAAGCATATGTTTCTATTTAGTTGTTTTAAATTCTACTTTTTAGTAATTCTTATTTTGTGAATTTAACACTAACAATGCTGCGACTGAAAATATTTTGCTTTAAAACACTATCCGTAGCTCGTGAAGGACAATTATCCTCACCCTCACTTCAATTCCCCCCACCCCCACCCCCCACCCCCCGCCCGGCCCTTGTGAAATCCATGAAAGCAGCCGTTCTCGACGACAGTTTACAAGCGACAATGAAAAGACCAAGCAGAACTGGTTATTTCCTCCCCTTAGTTTCAAATCGTTTAAAAACTACATTATCTGCCCCTATAAGCCGTCACTAATTCGACCAGGATCTACGATTATAAACATTTGGCGTGAACAACAGCTCAACAGACTGATGGGGTGGTAGCGATATGCCTAACGCCTAGAGAGTGAGGGAGGTGGCGTTTTGGCGTGTTGTTTTGTTGACGTATGCAAAACAGTAAAAACGTTGCTAACTATCAAACTATATATATATATATATATATATATATATATATATATATATATATATATATATATATATATATATATATATACAAAGAGAGAGAGAGGACTATATATATTTACAAAGAGAGAGAGAGAGAGAGAGAGAGAGAGAGAGAGAGGCCTATATATTTATATACCAACATTCCAACCGTAAATATATTTCTTAAAATGTTTGGAAGAATATCATCACTAATAAGCAAATATGAAACTGTAAATGGCGACTTCGCAAAAACAGACTTCTATAGAAAAAAATATAAATTTTAAAAATCAATACAATATCATAATAGTTTTGAAAGGCTTTTTGCAAGCGGTTCTAAATTTGTGTTGCCAGAAAGCATATTTTTCAACAAAACTTTAATATTTTAATTTAAAATATTTGTGTAATAAGTACAAAATTACCTCCGGTTTCATTAAGGCTAGAAAGAAACAAAGATAAAATTACTAGTAAAAAAATAGTAATTTAGCAAACACTTTTATTTTTAATTTATATTAGTAGAGTGAGGGTGTTGTGGTGATAGGGGGTGTTATATTATTTAATATAAATACAATACTACGCGATACACCATAGATCACGATTGCGTATTTTATCATGGAAAACAACTGTTCTGACTTTCGTTGCTTTACTCTCCCTGTCCATTCTGTTTGCCTTCAAGGAAAGGTTGAGGGCAGTTTTTGAAAATATTTGAATTGATAAAATAATTCTAAACTGCTTTTCAACGGCTTATGTTCGATAGAAAAATAGAAAAATAAGTGTAATCGATGGTTCACAAACGGTTTTAATTGTACCAAAAATAATTCTATCGCTTGCCATATTTTTAAAAAGATTTTTTTCAGAATTTATAATGATTACCTAGACTTTTCATGTCTATTACATTGCAGAATTTACATACGTTTTAATAGCATATTTTTAAAAATCGTGCATTTTCAAACACAAATATAAATAAACCGGGAGTGATCTCCTATAAACTTTTTCGAATATTCTTATATGAAACAACAGGGGATGGCAACTTGGAATATAGACATGACTTTTAATCCATGTTGAATACTTGAACTTTTTCAAATAGAAAAAAATCTCGTAGAAAATAGAATTGCACACCAAATGAACGCCAAATAAAATTTGTATAATAGTGCGGAATATTTTTAGTACTTTACAAATTCACATGCGTATTTTGAGAAATCGGAAATAGCGAAAATTACTACTTCCTGTCAACGGAAATTACTCAAAATTTGATTAAAGGTAGAAAGTTAGATCTTTTACTTACATGTGAAATTTCATTTATCTATCTGAAATAGTACCCAAAATATAGTCTTTCCAGTTTTCGGAAATCGCTCAAAAGTTGATACGGATCTACGATTTTGATAAAATATTTATGTATGAAATTTCATCATTCTAGTGGTAACGGTACTCAAGTTATCGTGTTTACAGACAGACAGACTGACAGACACACACACATATACATACACACACAGACATACGGACAAGATTGCAAAACTATGTTTTTACGACTCAGGGAGCTGTTAAACGTCGATATTTGCAAAAATCTCGATTTTTTTTTTGCACGATTACAAGGCTTTCTCGAGAAAGTAAAAATAAGTGAAAAACATTCTAACTAAATAATTGTACAGATTAAACTACAACGTAGTTTGTGTAAAAAAATGTTATTCCTCTCATACGCTCTTTCTCACTAAAAATGGCCATGGTTACCTTATAGTTAATAAAATTTTGGATACTTACCGGTGTTTTTTTTTAATTGTTTGAAAAACATTTTTTTTTCTCCAAAAAAAAATAGTAAAACAAGTAAAAACCGATCTCTCGAGTCTGCACTGATCGGCTGGATCGATAATTCCGTATCCAGACTTGCAATCGTGCCCCGCGAAACGTAACACTCGACGCTGTCCAATCATTCTCCTGTTCGCTTTTATGCAACCATTCGCCTAACCCACCAGTTTTACAAGTAAGTTACGGTTTCCACTACTTTAATTAATCATATTTTTGAAATTAAGAAACATGCATATTGCCGTGAAGTAGTGTTTTCTAGACTTGTTAAATTCTAATTATTTATTTCTTTAAACAAGAACGGTACGTTGGTCACGTTGGGTAGCGACTTGTCATGACCACGCACTTAAATTAGGCTCGTTTGTCAAAGGGTAACAAAAGTTTGACCCAACGCCAAATAATTTCTTTTTTACCCAAACACCTCACTATCGTTAAAGATATGTTAATACAAAGCTGGCGTCTTTTTATGTTTCTTTTATCCATATCATTTACCATTTGGGCTCCCATCTCCCTCACCTACCACAAACACAAAAATGTTCTGAAAAAATGAGGAGTGTTAAAGTTTAACCAATTAATTTTGCACTTATTCGTAATTTATATATTTTGTATAGATCTTTCTGTTGTTTCTTCTTTGTAACTTAAATGTGTGTATATGTAGGCGAATTGCCGGATGGAGTTATTGTAAGCTTTGTAACCTAGGGATTTTAAATATATTATTATTATTTATTCACCTGATCCTCAAAAAAAAATCATAAACAGAGATTCGCCTATAAGTCTGCATTTCGTTTAGTGTACATGCGTCCTTCTTTTTCTCATAAGATTGTATTTCTTTAATAATTTCTGTTTGTTTGTGTTCGGGGTCCTGGCAAATCGTGTAACCTCAGTTTTACCCACTTCTAATGCAGTGACATTCAAAATTTCTAGAAACATTCGTCTTCGATGACAATGCAATTACATAATTTGTAATCTAAAAAGAGAACATTTTGTCTATAAAATGTAATAAACTGATCAAAGCAATTATGTTTTGGTCGACTTCATTAAGAATGAGATTCTTAATAGTAGTAAATTTTGAAAGTGTATTGGCCACTCATGAAATCTCATACATATTTAGGCCACCGATGATTTTTTTTTAATTAAAGTAAATTTGTTTTGTAATTTCAATTTTTTTTTTAATTTTAATTTTGCGCTGAAAGCTATTGAACATTTAGTCAAAATCGAAAAGAAGTCACATTCTGTCTGTAATGCAATGAGTTATATCCAATTTTTCAGTATCAACCACTAGTTATTACATTCAACTACAGTTCTGCTAAACGCAACACATAAGTTATGGCGAATATACAATTCACATTTGGAAAGGTAGTATTAAAATTACTCTACATACGTTAAAAATAAAATAGAAGTAAAACGAGGATATATTAAATTTAAAAAATTATTAGCTTTAAAAGGCTGTTAAAATGTTTAAAATGTTAGATTACTAAATTCAAACAATATTTAAATTAAGAAAGAAAAAAACAAGAGTTTTAAGAGCTTAGGCTGGGCTGCTGCATATTAGCAATGGAGGCATATTTTTATTATGTTCGCCTTATAACACAGGTAATGAAAAAGTTATGTTAGAGCTAAAAATGAAAAACTTAGACGAAAATTTATGAATGAAAAATGTAATCAAAATTTCACAAATTTTAACCTATAGAGGCTTGCCTTGACGTTGGCAATGTTTGTGCTGACCATCTTTTCCTTGATTATGTACAAAGCTACAATAGATCGTAAACGGTAAGAATATACCCTATGTGTGTGTGTCTGGGTGTGTGTCTGGGTGTGGATCTGTGTGTTACATTTTAATAATATACATTAAATGCTTCAGTACTTGATGAATAAATTTATTTATATTTTTTCAATTGGTATTATAAAGAATAAAAACTCAGTCAATTAAAAAAAAAATTCTAGATACGATTCAGAAAATGTGCATGAATTACCAAGGGAAGAAAACTGGACCTATGAGCGTTTCAGACGGCAGAGGAACGAGCTATCTGCCATTTTGAACCACATGATGATGCTGTACGGACAACAAAGCTGCGAGCTACTGAAATTGAAACAGGTTTCGGTTTCTTCTGTGTAAAACTTGGACGTCGTTTTATCAGGCTATTCAAAATTGTTATTTGAAGAAAACTACGTTTTTTTCTTCTTCTAGATCTAAGTAATTATTAAAGTTAAATCGACGTAAATTGCCTTCAACTGAAATGTCTTTATTCTTAGAAAATAGCAATCGCTATTCTCAGAAAAAGCAGTGTAAAGCAAAAATACATTATATGCTAGACGACCGTGTTCCACTTCGGAAAAAGGTCTCTCGGTTGCACTTCACAACACATATATCCCATTTGCCCACCTCATTCTTTTTAAAGCCTTCTAACACCAAATGAATCGCTATTGTTAGACCCGAACTCCAGTCACATCCCATGGGCAATCCATTTATAACGTCCATGCTCTATGCGAGTGTGTCAGGGTGGATGGGGGGGGGAGGGTCACAGAGTAGTCGAATTTCTGGAAGCTCACAGGATCTAAACATATAGACATATATTTCTTTATTTATTTATTTATTTATTTATTTATTTATTTATTTATTTATTTATTTATTTATTTATTTATTTATTTATTTGTTTGTTTGTTTGTTTGTTTGTTTGTTTGTTTGTTTGTTTGTTTGTTTGTTTGTTTGTTTGTTTGTTTGTTTGTTTGTTTGTTTGTTTGTTTGTTTGTTTATTTATTTATTTATTTATTTATTCATTCATTCATTCATTCATTCATTCATTCATTCATTCATTCATTCATTCATTCATTCATTCATTCATTCATTCATTCATTCATTCATTCATTCATTCATTCATTCATTCATTCATCCATCCATCCATCCATCCATCCATCCATCCATCCATCCATCCATCCATCCATCCATCCATCCATCCATCCATCCATCCATCCATCCATCCATCCATCCATCCATCCATCCATCCATCCATCCATTCATTCATTCATTCATTCATTCATTCATTCATTCATTCATTCATTCATTCATTCATTCATTCATTCATTCATTCATTCATTCATTCATTCATTCATTCATTCATTCATTCATTCATTCATTCATTCATTCATTCATTCATTCATTCATTCATTCATTCATTCATTCATTCATTCATTCATTCATTCATTCATTCATTCATTCATTCATTCATTCATTCATTCATTCATTCATTCATTCATTCATTCATTCATTCATTCATTCATTCATTCATTCATTCATTCATTCATTCATTCATTCATTCATTCATTCATTCATTCATTCATTCATTCATTCATTCATTCATTCATTCATTCATTCATTCATTCATTCATTCATTCATTCATTCATTCATTCATTCATTCATTCATTCATTCATTCATTCATTCATTCATTCATTCATTCATTCATTCATTCATTCATTCATTCATTCATTCATTCATTCATTCATTCATTCATTCATTCATTTATTCATTTATTTATTTATTTATTTATTTATTCATTTATTCATTTATTCATTTTTTTTATTTATATTAGATGAATGACCTGGTATCCGAGAACGGAGGATGGTGTGCCGATGCCAGCAGACCAAACAGCAGACACCACGTTTGGGATGAGGTTTGATTTTTTTTTTGCCATACTGCCATACTTAAATTATGAAATTTGTTTGCCATGGAATTGCGTGTTATCTAATTTTATTAGCCATATATTTTATCTTTGCAATGTAATGTTATTTGCTATAAATTTACCTGTATTATGCTATTTTTTTTAAACTGGGCCTTTGTGGGGAGGGGCCAACTTTTGATCTTTAATCATCTTGGCTTATATTTATTTTCCGTAAAATATTTTTGTTACACTTTAAAACTATTCCGGAATGTACTGTAACATAAAATTTGCTTAAAGAAAGATAGAAAAGCTGCCTTTAACCATGTAGTTGCCAAAGAATTAATCATCAACGGTTCAAACTTTAAATTATTATTTAATCATTATTCAATGTCTTTGAAGATTAAATAATATTTTTGTTTGTTTTTTGCTTGCAATTTATTATAACTTCTAGGTATTTTGTTTCCACTGTTGACGATTCTTCCAGGGCTTTTCCAAGGCGCTGAGCACCTTCTTTAAAAGAAAAACTGTCGGTAGTTTTGGTGACGGTCATGGAATCTACAAGAGACATTTGGACGCACTGAAGGAAGTAAAGAGTTACACAGCCTACGACGGAGCGCCGTTCTGTGAGAGCGTTACCAACGGGACGGTGAATACATTGTGTTTTATTTTCAGTGACCATATCTATAAAATGTATAACTGACCTTTGCGCCAGTACCCATTACTTTGTTACTGCCCACGTCTTCTGCTAAAACCTATGAGTTAGAATTAGTCACTTGTGAAAGGCTCCGCAAGTCCATTAAATATGGTAATAATATTTTTCGAAATCTAACTAGACTTGTTTATTTAGGCCTATACTTGTTGTCTTGACTTTTCACAATAAAGATAGATTGACCAACATTGAATCTTGTGTTAAAACAATATAACCTTGTTTATTACTAACCATATATATATATATATATATATATATATATATATATATATATATATATATATATATATATATATATATATATATATATATATATATATATATATATATATATATAAAGATAATAACAGCACTGGCATTTTATTCTCCACTATATATTTCAACCTCAAAATCTCTAAGCTTGACTTAGCTACATGTGTTTTTAAAAGAGCTGCATGTTGACTATTTTAAAACTTCTCAGTCTGCTTCCCCTAAAAAAACATTTGTTTCACTAGCTTTGTATGGTTTTGCCCTTTAACTGGTCGGTCGATTCATTTCTTAATGGTTACTTTTGGTTAACTATAGGACCGCCATAATTATTGTCTAATCTGAGTCCAAAATTAGATTGAATCAAGGTTCGGCACAGAAATAAGATCCGTAAACAGAAAAGCTGTGCACTTAGGACCAAAGCAAAATGAGAAGAAAAAATGCACTTTAAATGAAATCTGTGATAAATGCACAGCTATGGTCCCACCCAATGACTTAGCCATTTTGTGTTTGTTAGGTTGCTTCATTTTTCGTGTGACCTATAAATTATCCTAGTCTTTAATCGTGTGTTATACAAATTGCACTATATCAGACATAACAACATTTTAATGTTTTACAATTAATACAACTGTTAAGTTGAATATAATAAAATGTAAAAAATGTTTATTTAAATAAACGTCTTTTACAGGTTCTTTTTTTAGACCTAACAGTTCCCCACTACAGCCTCCCAATCTTCGACTGGGTCATAAGTGTGGAAGTGGGGGAACATATCCCGGCAAAGTATGAAGACATTTATCTGGACAACCTAGCTAGACATGCCAGAGAGGGTATAGTGCTCAGCTGGGCTGTGCCAGGTAAGATGATTTAGATTTTACTAACATTAGTAAACGCAAAGCTTTTTTGGGTTTCCGAAAAAAACCGCCAGCTGCTAAGATTTTGTGGAGGTTGGACTGATAATGACGTGGCATGGTAAATGGGGGGGGGGGGGGCTGAAAATGTGAAGTTTCGTAAATTGAATTTCAAAAAAATTAAATTGTTATCCCATAATAACATGAAGCGGTTATTTTGTATTTGAAATGTTTTAGTATATTGAAGTGGAAATTGATCAATGTGTGTTTGACCTGACCTCGTTAAAACGTGCAATGATGAAATAATTCGGATTAGCAAAATCAATCTAGCTAGCAATAGTAAACATTTTTATTTCAGTACTTTTTTAAAATAAAAAGATAGCTGTTTGCAATTTGTGTGTGTAAGGAGGGGGGGGGGGGTTGAGACGTGCTGTCATTTCTGAATGTCGATTGGTGATTGTGGGGGTTAAATAATTTCTCCGAAATTGTATCGTCGTTTATGGCAGTTATGAAGTATCGGTAAAGTCTGTATGATGAAAGCGGTTGTTTTGTAATTCTTTTTGTATTTACCGTATATACTAGCACGTTGCATGAGACATGAAGTTTACGCTGTTAATTGGAAAAACATATCATCCTAAAAAAATCCTAATCGGTCTTTTATTTATTTATTATTATATGCTACAGCTTTCGTTGTAAAGAATACATTTAAAGTTTACGGTTTTAATGTGTTTTACCTTAGGGCAAGACGGCGTTTCCCATGTCAACAACAAGCCTCTGGAAGCCGTCGTGGAGCAACTAAGAATACGTGGCTTTGAGCTAAACACGGAAGCAGAAGCACCTTTAAGAGACGGTGCATATTCGAGTTGGATCAAGAGAAATGTCCATGTTTACTACAGAGCCAAGCATAGCTTTGTTGTAGAAGATGATGCCTAGATGAATAAACACATTTATTTATAGCAATTGTATCGTTGGCAACACACGATCATTTTAAAATGCATAATTCGATGTTAAATTGTGAATTGATTAGTCGAAAGATTGGTAGAATAATCATTTTTGTACACCAATAAGAGCTTATGTTTAATTGAAGAACTAATTTGCTGTTTCCAGAAAAATAGGCTATCGGAAAACTGACCAAGGGAAAATTGCGCGAACAGAAAATTGCGCCAATACCAAAATAACTATGCTAAAACTCTTTAATTTTATTTCGTGGAAATATATTTTATTACGAGAAAAATAGCCCGTTGAGGAAGGATACAACGGGCGCTAGGTTGATAGTGCTGTCTCTTTTCTCTAAACTAAAACCAAAACCAAATTCACCACCTTAATTAAATTTAACCGGAAACGAAAAATGATATTGAAAACGGATTTTTATCCAGAATCTGTACTTTAATTTATCCAAAATGTAGTCATGGGCATATCGCTAAACCATGCACCTACTCCAGGGGTCGGCAACCTTTTCAGAAGGAAGAGCCAAAAGTTACAATTTTCAAAATTTCCCAGTTTTTAAAGAGCCACTAACATTTTTATTTCAATATATTATTATTTGATTAGGACTAAGTAAATAAATGTGATTTGTTATTTAAAATAAATAGTTTTAAATATGAAATAATATTTATAAAAACATGCACATGTTTTGCCAGAATAATAAACTTAGTAATCAAATAATATAACTATAGGACTATCCAAATCCACTTTAGAAGCTGTTAATTTTTTTTCTTTCTTTACGGAAATCACCGGCTCATGAGGTGTCTCCCATTAGCCAGGCAGGCCTCAACACGGCTAACTTCGATCAACTGGCTTGAATATGGTTTGATAAAAGTGTATGGGTCGCTTCTGTCCTTTGGTTCTCACCAGGCTTATCTTCCACCCCACTGAACACAGGGTAAACTCGTACCCCATCGTACGATCAACAGTAGGAAGCTAATAACTAAAAAAACAACTACGTCACTCAGGTCAAATTAATGATAACTGACACATATGGAAATGCATTCTGAATAAAATAACATTCCAATTTTAAAACATTCGAAAAAGTAGCAAGCATGGGATTGTTGCCACAGCTGCTGTCAGCTGTCCTTATACTTTCTACTGCACATAGTCTCAATATTCTCTGATAATTGTTTTAATTCTGTTTCAAGTTGTTTTTCTTTACATTATGATATTTGATATGAGTTTTGAAAATGAAATAATACAACTATCAATATTTGTGCAAGGGGCTGGAGAGCCGCATCTTGACAGCAAAAGAGCCGAAAGCGGCTCGCGAGCCGCAGGTTGCCGACCGACTCCCTGACCTAATCTCATTCATGACAGAAGTCGCATTTAGAGTTTCTTTCAGGCAACCCCCCCCCCCCCCACACACACACACACCCCAAAGCATGTCTCCAAGAAAATGCTACCCCCGCCCCCGAAAATTTCAAGTACCCCCACCCCTCTCCGGGGAGGAAAAAGTCTGAAAGAAACACTGGTCGCATTTGTAGATCATACAAACTAAAGGAAGAACCTGGGCGGGGCTTCACCCCTACCGGAAGAGATGCATGAAAGAAACTCTGCACGCAAACCACTTTTTAGATTAGACACATTAGTTAGGCGGTAATTTTATTATAGAGTATCAATGACGACATTTCTTTTGAGTTGGGGGGGGGGGGAGGCTTAGACGTTCTTACGCGAGAGTGGGGCTTCGCACCTACCCGAAGAATTGTATGAAAGAAACTTTTCACGCAAACCTCTTAGATTAGACAAAATTGTCTTTTTATTCAATGTTTACTCGAGAATCAATGACGTCATATTATTGTGTGCACTACCCCGGCTTTAGACTACTATATACTCAGTGTGACGTCATGTTTCGTTTTCGTTTTACTAAGAAAGTTTTTATTTTGCTTGTATTTTCTCTATAGCGTTCTTGTCAGATAGATAGATAAATAGACAGATAGATAGATACACAGACAGCGAAACTATTAGTATAGATGCCACAGCGTACAATATGTAGTCAATCTTTGTAATGTCTCTAAATGCTCAATTTAAGAAAACCAAAATACCAATGCTACCTTTTTGTGAGCAGGTTGCCGTTGCGCAGTGTTCCTTTGCGCATCTTTTCGTTCACTCAAATCTCCATATAATTTTTTTTCAAAATGCACGTAGTTCTAGACAATGTAATGCAACTGGCATGGGCACCGGAGTCTTAGTGTGTATTTATGGTTGGGAGCGGGGAAATATTAACCATACATCATGGACCGGCAAATTGAAACTGTTCTGATGTTAAATTTCAGCCGATGGCGACGGTGAATGCTTATTTTAAAAATTTTAATCTATCTATCTATCTATCTATGTATATATATATATATATATATATATATATATATATATATATATATATATATATATATATATAGAGAGAGAGAGAGAGAGAGAGAGAGAGAGCAATGTATGTCTGTCTGTCTGTTTGTTTGTCTTTATGCATTAATACACCGTTCATCCGATCGCCGTGAAACTTTCGAAAGTTTTTAAAAAATACTT